CTGCCAAGTTTAGGGGTAATTTATTACACAGCAATAGGCAACTAATATATTAACCCCCCAAAATACAACGCACCACTACCACCACCAACAACAATGCCCTAAAAAGAAAGGAAAGCTTTACACAAAAAGGGAAAGAGAAGCAGATTTCTTTTTGGTTACTGGATAATAATTTAGTCTTCCTTTGAAGTGCTTTTAGCACCTTTCCAGTAGGTATTGTCCAGCCTTCTCTGCATTCTTCCATCCAATTATTAAATTCCTTCACACCCGGGCACCTAAAATCTACTACAATCTCAGAACTTTATATAGTTTTTATTTATTTAACATTATATTTTACTAATAAGTCTTATGAATATAATGTTATCCAATTTAAAATTCCTCAGAGTACATAAAACTACCTACTTTTATCAACTATTTAGTTCTGTACGTTGTTATAAAAGGAAAAAAGATCCAAATTGCACTCACACTATTGCAATATAGAAATACCCCATGTGTATGGACAAGGACTAGAAGGAAGCAGCAATAAAAACAATTAGTGTTCAAGTGATGAATTGTGAGCTATTAATTTGGCCTATTTTTTGCCATATAAAGCAAAACAAGTATATAGGTACTATTGATGTTCTAGGGCAAAGCAGCATTCTAAGTTACACACATTTTATAATTTCAAATTTCTTTACAATAGGTTTTCTTTTTAAAAAATTCCACATGTTCCCACATAAGAATTGCCTCAGGAGTGAAAAAGCTCATTATTAACATGTTTTGTTATATTACATTTTAAAGAATCCTAGTTACACACATTTTATAATTTCAAATTTCTTTACAATAGGTTTTCTTTTTAAAAAATTCCATATGTTCCCACATAAGAATTGCCTCAGGAGTGAAAAAGCTCATTATTAACATGTTTTGTTATATTACATTTTAAAGAATCCTAAAAAAAAATAAAAAATAAGAAAATAACTATAATGTAGAGAATAGATCTGCGTACTGGGAATTGACAACCAATCTATTAGCTCAATGACACTGTACTGTCTAGTACTGTAGCCACTGGCCACATGTGACTATAGAGCACTTGAAATGTGGCTAACACAAGGTGAGATGTGTTGTAAGTGTAAAATGCCCACCAATACAAGTATATAATCAGTACAAAAAAAGGAACATAAAATAACTCAATAACTTTTTATGTTGACTGTATGTTGAAATGACAATATTTTGAATATGTCGGGTTAAATAGGTTAAAAATACCTCCTCCTGTTTCTTTTTACTTTTTAATATGGTCAGTAGAAAATTTAAAATTATATATGTGGTTTGCATTATATTTTTATTGGACAGTGCTAGGCTAGATCATGTCTTCCAGCCCTTAATATTCTGATATCTATCTTAAACTTTAGAGGCACAGCCTTTCAGATCCAGAAAGCATTACACAGCATATATATTTATAGTGCGCTCTTCTTCCTTAGAGTCCACTAGATGGCACTAGAGTTTGGCCGCAAGCTAATCATTAATAGAGATTTAAAATTTATATTTGCAGTTTTCTAATGGGCTGTGTGCACAGACTCATCCATGACTTTGCTCACATTGTTCCCTCTACTGAGAAACCCTTTTCTAACTTGGCCAACATCCCACAAATCTATTCATTTAAAAAAATTCAGGCTGGCTGGTTAGCTCAGTGGGTTAGGGCATGGTGCTGATAACACCAAGGTCCAGGGTTCAATCCCTGTACCAGGCAGCTGCCAAAAAGAAAAAGAAAAAACTCAGATCCTCTAAGGGAAGCTTTATCCTTAACATCTTCCTCCTTTTTTGTTGGTGGCTGGCCAGTACAGGGATCTGAACCTGTGCCTTGGTGTTATAAGGCTGCATTCTAACCAATTGAGCTAACCAGCCAGCCTCCTTCCTTACTACAAATAATTTTATGTCCCCACCGTCTTATACAATTATTTCTATCATAGAATCATGACTCATTTGTTTACATGCTTTCCCCCTAGTATATTGTGTACATTGTCTGAGGTAGATAGCAATGAGATCTTAATTGACGCCTGGCACCCAAAAGGTGCCATATGCAATGAATCAGGCAAGACAGGCTAAGTTGTGCTGCATTAGCAAAAATCCCAGCACCTCAGTAGCTTAATACAACAAAGGTTTATTTCCTATTTATCAGGGATTGGTTGAGGACTCTGCTGCATGGCACCCTAACTACAGGACCTACATTAATGGAATAGTTCCTGCATTAGCAAAAATCCCAGCACCTCAGTAGCTTAATACAACAAAGGTTTATTTCCTATTTGTCAGGGATTGGTTGAGGACTCTGCTGCATGGCACCCTAACTACAGGACCTACATTAATGGAATAGTTCCATATGGAGCATTACTGGCCTGCATTACTCCAGCAGAGGGAAAAAGAGTGGCTTTCAGGTTTCTGAGCCAGCACTTAAATACTCCAACTTAGAACTGACATGTCACTCACAACTCATTGGATAGAACTAATTCCATGGCCTCATCCAACCACAAGGGGGTCAGGAAGTGCAACTCTATAAAGTGCCTGGAAGGTATGGGCAGAAATATTTGGAGAACATCAGTGACTTCCACTGATGACCCTTCTAGTCGATAATCATTCGGCTTACTATCTCTTCTGCAGGTGAAATATACTCATTACACCTACCCTAAAGGAAACAAGCCAAGAATTCTCTTTAGCTACAACATCAAGTTCAAATTTAAGAATCTCTGAGTGATGTACAATAATTTCTATACCAGTTTCAGATGTAGCCTGAGGAGATCTTTTTGAAGAAAAAGCTCATGGAAAGAGTCATATTATCTTTTAATTCTATTTTTCCATCAACTTTTTAAAGTACCCTAGTGTAAACTAAAAAGACAAGCCATGTGCCACTACACATCTAATATTTAATAATGGAAGAGGAACAGGCTAAATGCACTCAGGGGGGATGGGAAGAATATGTGACACAGCAGCCCAGTGATTGTGATATCCAACTAAGCAGATGTTGTGAGGGCTCCTTATCCTGGAGGAAGGGACTATGCTTTGCTTAGGCCTCAATTCTGCTTCCTGGGAGGGCATCCTTAGGCAATTGTTCTGTTTTAAGCTTTAGGGTTCTTGCTGCAGCATAACCTAGCCTAATGTGTCCTTGACTGATACAGAAACTAGAATCTAGAGGGGGGTGTTGAATAATAAAACAAAACAAAAAACAACCTGATGTGTGTAACATAAACTTACATGGAGGGGAGCGAAGAGATCTTATTGGAGGCTGGAAGAATGGCAACCCTTGTTATACGGTAGCAAAATATTTGATAGAACTGTTGTCTGCAGTGATTTAGAAGACAGATATATCTTATCAAATATGCTTGTGGATCTAGGAAAGTCAAAGAACAGAAATTTAGGGCTGGCCAGGTAGTTCAGTTGGTTAGAGTGTGGTGTTATAACACCAAGGTCAAGGGCTCAGATCCCCATACTAGCCAGCTGCAGCAAAAAAAAAAAAAAAGAGAGACCTTTAGCAGCATGAATTGGTCACTGTTGGTTGCCACTGACAAAGCACCACAAGAAGAGATGGGCTCAAAAGAGAACTGGCCACTTTGCAAGAAGGCATAAGGGATCTAGAGAAACTATAGAAACCAGTGGCCATTCAAGGTTGAAAGAAGCAACTGTTTCTCATCCTAACTGGTAATAAAATTAAGAACTGTTTGGAGTGACAAAAGCCAGTTCGAACTCAGCCTTGTAAGTGGGGTTACCAGCCATCCTTGTTTGCCCAGGGCTGTGCCACTTTAAGCACTGAAAGTCCTGCATCTCATGAAATCCCTCTTCTTGGTGAACAGGGACAGTTACTCACCCTACTTGTAGGAAAGATGAAAACTATGATATGGCCATCACATCTGTTCCTAATACCTCCAAAGGAATTCAATTGTTTTAGAGCAAAGACTTCGCTAAAGTTGTGGCACATCATAAACCACTGCAATTAAACTGCTTGAGGAAGAGACTTGAGGCGCAGCTCTCCAACTGAAAGTTCAAAAATATCCAAATTAGAGAGGGATGAGAATGAGAATATATGTCAAACTTAGGAAATATGTCTAGAAAAGGGCAGCTAGTGGCACATGAAACTGCCTGAAATCAGAGAAAAAAGTCAACTACATTTTTGAGAATACTATGCTAACAAAATACAAGTCATGTAACAAAGTGACCAGCCTACCATATGCCCAGAAAGTGAGAAGCTATAAATACTTGGTAAATAATCTTAATGACCACCACAGTGCAATAAATAAAAGTGATGCCTATAGCAGTGGCTGCTAGAACAGTGGCACTTTAAGAACACTCAGGAAGCAAAACTGGTTTAACAGGAGACATGTTCCGCTCTTTCCTTTTGGCAAAAGTAAAACAAATTCACAAACTGATGCACACACCTAGAGAGGAATGCAAATAGATATATTACCATAGGCAGAGGAGTGAATATGTTTGTACATGGGGCAGGGAATGGAGGTGTGGTGGAAACAAGAAAAAAAAAAAACAACAACCCTATTTTTGAATAAAGGCCAAGCTGCTTAGATCTGGGAGAGAGAGCAGAAATAATCATGTCAGTTGTGGACATTTTACCAGCTGAGCTTGAAAACAATCACAATTAAGAAGTCATTTTGGTGAATAAGTAAAAGACATTGAAGTGTACATAAGAAAAAAGCCAAGACCACCTACACTGATAGTCCTCGTTCCCCCAGAGACTCAGGTGAGGGGCTGGAAGAAGTGATCATTTTTCTTCTTCAGAGATGGAGAGTCATGAAAGGACTGTAATTTTCTTGGCTGAGGCTCGGACAAGTAATGGTCGATACAGGATAGACCCAAGTGCATCTGCCCCCAAATTCAAAGGTTTGTTGACATTATGTTTTAAATGTAGTGCTTTAAGTACTTTCTTGCTCCAAAGTTTTAAGATGTTAAACCTAAAACCTAGGAATTAAGACCCTTCCCCCTTCCCCACTACTAATATCAAGGGTAGAAGTCAACATGACACAGAGTGGAAATATATATTCAACTTTATTGCATTAGAAAAATTCATTTAAGCCACATGGTGGCCATCATCCTGAGCAGGCTTTATCATCCCACCACCCTTCAGACCAATATACACACACATACGCACTACGTTATAGGAAGGACTTAGAAATATAAAACAATGAGAACTGGACACTGAATACTCCATCTTTCCCCCACTACAGCCAACCCACACACCTCTTCAACTGTTATCCAAACACAGGAGCTCTCACAGAAGAGAGGCTGAACACCAAATAAACTGACCATAAGACACCCAAGTTCAAAAGAACACTTGGCAGATGTTTAGGAAGGAGGGCTGAAAACATCACCATCTCCCAACAGCTGAAATTGCAGCACAAGTCCCCACCTGAGAGATGTCAGACCCACACTGCCGAGGACAGCAAAGCATACAGCAGACCCTAGGGAGAAGAGTGAGATCACTCCTTCCCAAGCCACAGGCAACCCACCCACGGTTGTGTATTAAGCAGGCTCTTTTTTACAGGGCAAAGAGCATTTAGTCAGCCAGACCCTTCAAGGCCTAGTAACAGTTAGTTCTCTGGTTAACACTGGTGTTCTGAGCTTGCCTGCTCGGAAATGGGACACCTGGATGGACGTGTTTAGGTCAGTGTTCCAAGGCATGGCCAGGGTGGAAGGAGGTCTTATTGCACTCCTCTGGATGGGTGGTCTGGAAGGCCCTTGGGGGGCTCTGTGTTGGCTAGTTGATTTCTGGTGGTCCAGATGCTCCCAGGCGATGGGCTCTCCAGTAAGCCCTCCATTGACTCCATCAGTCTAACGAAGATGGAGAGAAGGGTCAACACCACACCTAAGAAGTAGAGGTTCAACATATGCTTCATGGCTGAAAGGATCCCACTCCTCTGCAGAGCAGTAGAGCTGCCTTCTGCTTCTGGAGGGCCTCTGGATACTAAGAAAAGACAGGAAAGGATTATTAATCTGCAGCCTTTTGGGATATACATAGGTATAGCCCTGACATTCCTCTTTTCCCATGCACTAGTGGGTGTTCTTCCACAGCAGAATCTCCAAGTATATTTATACTGAAAACCCATGGCTATGGAGCCACTTGCTTCCTGGACTAATTCAAGAGCACTTCTTAAAATTTTTACTTTTCTCGACTTTGTTCCTGCAGAGTGCAATGCACAATCCCTGTGCTCCAGTCTAGGTACCAGTAACCTTCCTGACTGAAGTACAGGCAGAGAACTTTTGTAGCGGGGAGAGGGGGTAATATAAGAACTATCCTTCAGAAAGCAACCTGCCTAGAAGGCTCAGCAACATCACAGTCAGATTTGTGTCAACTATAAACTTTTTAACTGTCAAAATATAACTCTTTGAGCGTCAAATCTGTCAAGTTCACTTATTCAACAAACATACCCTGAACACTCACAATGTGTTAGGCACCCTGGAAGGTACTAGGGCTACATGGTAAACCGTGTAGACATGAACCCTGCCCCCGTGGGACAGTTACCACACAACACACTAAGTGCTGTGATAGAAAAGAGATGTTAAGGGTGCTTTGGGAGGCCATGCAAGGGACGCCTAACCAGCAATGGCGAGCATGGAGTGGGCCACGCGGATCCTAGTTAGGGCCACCCCAGGGGAAAACAGGGCTGGGCGGCCCACTGCGGATTCCGAGTAGGGGCGAGGGCGACAAAGGAGGTTCCGGGCGGCGCAGTCCCACCCCGGGGACGCGAGGCGGCCTGCCGGGCACGCAGCCCGGGAGACAGAGGCGGGGAGCTTGGGAAGCCCACAGGACCGCTCACCTCGAGGGAGAAGAGCAAGGAGTGGCCCGCTGGCTGTGGCAGCACGTCGTGCAGGAGACGGAAGGAAAGTCGGACAACGAGCAACGCCAGACCTCAACGCGCAAAGCTCTCGGACGACCACGGCTCGGCCCGCAGGAGGACGCGCAGCTTGTAGCCGTGGCTCCGCCCCCTTGTAGCCGTGGCTCCGCCCCCTGGGCGGGCGCACGCGCGCTGGTGGCCGCACGCACACGCCGGGGCGCACGTCCGCGGCCGCGCCCCCGAGGCTAGGGCGGTCTTCGGTGGGGGCTAAAAGTGGCCGGTTGCGGGCCGAGCTGTCTCTGAAAGTACACCCGAGTGGTTCTGAGTCATTGCGGTCCGGAGTGGGACTAGGAGTGTGTATTACACTCGACTGCCTTCTCCTCCTGTGAGAAACTTTTGAAGGACCTCGTATAACTTCGTATAATGTATGCTATACGAAGTTATTACGGGCTCGGCCCGCAGGAGGACGCGCAGCTTGTAGCCGTGGCTCCGCCCCCTTGTAGCCGTGGCTCCGCCCCCTGGGCGGGCGCACGCGCGCTGGTGGCCGCACGCACACGCCGGGGCGCACGTCCGCGGCCGCGCCCCCGAGGCTAGGGCGGTCTTCGGTGGGGGCTAAAAGTGGCCGGTTGCGGGCCGAGCTGTCTCTGAAAGTACACCCGAGTGGTTCTGAGTCATTGCGGTCCGGAGTGGGACTAGGAGTGTGTATTACACTCGACTGCCTTCTCCTCCTGTGAGAAACTTTTGAAGGATGTTTCGAAGCAAATTTACCCCCGTACCAACTCGGCGGAACACCTGAGGTGACCCCGATCCGAGGGCCCCCGTACCGGATGAAGTCCTGGCATCGGAAGTTGGGTTCTTCACCAGAGATGTCAACAAAGTACAAATTTCCAGAGGGCATCAGACCCCCATCTTCCCCCACCCCCTTGTTTTCTCTATTTTAGGCACTGAGAGGGACTTTGTTTCCCTTTAAAGGTACCAAGATTCCAGACACCACCCTCCGCCCTCCATTCCAAATCCTGAGGTTTAATTTGCCATTGATATTTATGGAATGGTGAGGCCTTTTTGCATCATGTTAAGTAAGCTCTGCTTTCTGTGAGAGTTTGTCATGCTATTGAAGAAAATGTAAAATGCTTCTGCCCCCGGTGTGGGCTCCTAACTGCATAGGGCAAGTCCCTTTGTATTCGGTGGGCCTCAGTTTCCCCATCTAAAATGTGGGCGTTGGCCACTAGATGATTTTTAGGGGTGCTTTCCCCTTGACCTAAAGAGCTAGGAGGTCACAGTCCAGTCTTATGCCCAGATTTGGGGGCTGGGCTGCCTTACTAAGTAAGCACCACCCACCCACCCCAAGCAAGGCAATATAGACGTTCTGTCCTGAGAGCACGCAATGCACGATCTCAGAAAAGAGTCCTGGGGCACACACCGCGAATGGGGAGGACCTCTGGGAAGGCTGTCGGTGGCCTCAGCGCCTTCCTCCTGGGACGTGGGCCAAGGCTGGGGGCAGGATGACGCAAGGCAGGTTCACGGAGTTCTAGAGCTAGCGGTTCCGTTGTCCAGGTCAAGTGCTCGGGCTGGATGGGAGAGAAGCCGGGAGTTCTATAGCTCTGCGGCTGTGCTGAAAAGAGACTGAACGGATGAGAAGGGAGGAGCCAAATCCCCCCCGCGGCCTTTCTCCTACTTTCCGGACTGTCTGTGGTCTGTCGGGAAAGAGGGGGGCTGGATGGGAGAGAAGCCGGGAGTTCTATAGCTCTGCGGCTGTGCTGAAAAGAGACTGACCGGATGAGAAGGGAGGAGCCAAATCCCCCCCGCGGCCTTTCTCCTACTTTCCGGACTGTCTGTGGTCTGTCGGGAAAGGGGTGGTGGGAAGGCCAGGAAAGGAGAAGGTTGGGGATGGAGACGTGCTGGCAGGCAGACATTTAGAAACCGATTTGCTCATCCCGCAGCAATTTTTTGGTCCTTCATTATACCGAAGTTTCGTCTGATTTTGTGCTTGACTTTGTGACCCTTCTCTCGCACTGTTACTAGGATAGGTCTCAAGCTCTGAGGCCAGGTGTCCCAAACATCACCACTTGTTAGTTGGGGGCCTTGGACAAATCCTTTGACCTTCCTGTGTTTTGGTTTCCTCAGCTGTTATATGGGATAATAACAGTCTTTACCTGGAAATTAAGAGTTAATCCATATAAAGCACTTAGAACAGTGCCTGGCACATAGAAAACATTCCATAAATGTTAACATTATTTGTATTATGAACTACAAAACTCCCAGGGAGGGTCTTTGCTCATTGGTAGCCTATGCTCAGTGAATGAGTGCAGGAATTCCACAGTAACCCTTTGGGCTTTACTTCTTGTGAGCTCCATATTTATATTTTCACACAGCTGAAGAAGGGGATGGGCACCTCTCCAATAATTCTTTCTCTCCCATATTCATTGCCACTGTCTAAAGGTCATGTCAGATGGTGATAACCAGGGTTTGGGTGAGTATAGCTGTGTTTTTCCGTCTATCAACTACAAACATTACTGGCCATCATCTCTGGGTAGGTGCTGGGCCTACCTATGTCAAGGTTTTAGTCCTGTTTCCACCACCTTGGCCAAGTTAAGTAACCCTTTGAGCCTTAATTTTCTTATCTGTAAAATGAGGAAAATAACATATAAAACAGAGGGATATTGTGAGAATTAGAAATAATGCATGTAAAGTGTGTGCCATATAGTAGATGATCAATAAATAGTAGCTATTATTTTACTAAAAAGTATAAAGCTAGGTTCTTGTCCCAAATAAGCTTGTCACCTGGTTAGGCAAACAAGACTTAAAAAAGATAACTAGCCAGCCAAAGCAGTGTCAGTTAGTGGTTAGAAGTCAGTTGAACTTGAGTTCAACTCGAATTCTGCTGTGCAATTTGCTAGCTATTGTCCTTGGGCTCTGCATGCCTCAGCTTCTTCATTTATAAAATGGAAATAATAATAGTCCTTACCTACTAAGATTGTTATGAAGATTAAATTAAATAATGGATGTAAAGTACTTAGTGTATATTAAGGGCAAAATAAGTGGTGGTATTAATCTAATTAGCTCCTGAGGTAGACTGTGATAAATTTACTAAAGTGCTTGGGAGCCCAGAAATGGAGGAAGAGAGAGAACTGAGTAGTAGAGAAATACAAAGTAAGAACATAACTAGGGTGGAAATGCTTTGCTTGGGGAGCTGGAATTTTAACATTCACCATTGTTATATATTGAAGGAAAAAAAAGTGGAAACAAAATAAGCATTCATCAAGTAACTAACATGTGCCAACCATTTCACTAAATCCTTTACATGTGTTATTTAACTTAAATCTCATAACACTGTGAGATAGATATTATTACCTCCCTTCTTTATTTGTTAACCATGCTTTTTCCACCAAAGGAAGAAGAGACCTTTCTGCACCTAGTCTTTTACTCATCCTTCATATCTCAGCTCAAACATATTTCCTCTAGGAACCCTTTGCTGACCTTCAGGTCCTCGTTACAGACTCCAATAGCATGATATATACATTCCTTCCCAATGTGTTACTTTACCCTTAGTTGTGTTACTGTCTGCTTCCCCTCGAAAGCCTGAAGATGTCAATGAAAGGAGTGTCTGGTCTGATTTGGTTTTCATCCCATGCCCAGAACCTAGCACCACATATAAGCTATCAATAAATATTTGTTGATTGAAGGAATAAATGAATGAATGATTATCTCACCCATCATCTTCAGTGTGTACCCCTTGTTCTACCAAGATAGGGTAGACAGAACCCCAAGACAAACCCTTTTCAGGTTCTGCCTTGTCCTTGGGAACTGCAAACCAAGGAAAGTTCTTTATGGGCTGCCCTTGCTCCAAAGCACCTAAAAAGAAGTAATTCTAAAGTCCGCACACACAGGAATATCACACTGAGAATACAATATTTTAGAAATATGGTACTACAATCTAGTGTCCATTTATAGAACATGTCCCCACATTCTAACCAACTGAGCTAACCGGGTAGCCCCACATGTCCCTGCATTGGTGAATATATATTGGTACACTCCGTATGGAAATCAATTTGGTGATATCCATAAAAATAAAAGCATGCACATGCCCTTTAACCCAGAATTTCACTTCTAGTCTGTCCTTACAGACAAATGTCTACATGTGGAGAATGGAGTATGTAGAGGTAGTCATTGAAGCATTGTTTGTAATAGCAAAAGACTGGACAAAACATAACAGCTCATCAATAGGGGATTGGTTAAATAAATTATAGTACATCCATACAGTGAATTACCATAAAGCCAGCAAAAAAGAATAATCAGTTCTGTACATACCAATATGATCTCAACAATATGTTAAGTGAGAAAAGTTAAGTGTATCGTGTGTGTAGTATGCTGCAATTTGTGTCAAAGCAAACACACAAAATAGAATGTACACAATGAGATACCACCTTGCACTCACTAAAAGCTCTAATTCAAACAACATCACACACACACAAAAAGAAAAATAAACAACATAAAAAATAAGTGTTTGTGAGGATGTAGAGGAAATGAAGCCCTTATACCACCTTGCACTCACTAAAAGCTCTAATTCAAACAACATCACACACACACAAAAAGAAAAACAAACAACATAAAAAATAAGTGTTTGTGAGGATGTAGAGGAAATGAAGCCCTTAGGTACTGCTATGGGGAATGTAAAATAGTGCAGCCTCTATGGAAAACAGTTGGGCAGTTGCTGTGGATTGATTGAATTGTGTCCCCCAAAGTCCGTATATTGGAAGCTTAATTCCCACTGTAATTGTTGAGGGTAGGAAATCCTATTAAGGTAATTGAAAGGTGGGCCCTTGAAGAAGTTATTAGATTGTAGGACTGTGCCTTAGAGAATGGATTAATAATGGTGGTCCGGGGCATGGTTCTGAGGGCTTTAAAAGGAGAGTGCATGAGGAACTCTCTCTCTGCTCTACTATTTTTTGCCATGTGAGACCCCTGGGTCACTGTTGCCACCACCAAGACCTTCACCAAATGTGTTCCCTGGATTTTGGACTTCCCAGTCTCCTAAACTGTAAGCAATAAATTTCATTTTCTTTATGAATTACCCAGTTCCAGATATTTTGTTATAAGCAACAG